TTTTTTTTTTTTCCCCCCGTTTTTTCTTCCCCCCCCCCCCACCAGCCTTTCGTTTTTATTGATTTCCCCGCCGTCTCCCGGCGGCTCAAGGCTCCGCCGATTCCCCGCCGCCAGCTTGGGAGAGAAGGAACGGCATCACGTTCTGCTCCTGGCCGGTGACGGCCGGGGTTCGGGTGGGTGACACGCAGCCCGGCTGCGGGCTCCGCGTGCAGCCGCGTTCAGAATCAGCTTTGGAATCGGCAGGAAATGGCAAAAATAAAAAAATACAAAAACGAAAAGGGAGCGCTGCGTTGGCCGGGAATCGAACCCGGGTCAACTGCTTGGAAGGCAGCTATGCTAACCACTATACCACCAACGCCTGGCGATAGAAGTTTCCCCGGCCTGCCTCAGCAGCCTTAGCCGCCTGGACCCAACCATTCTCTGGCGGCAAGGGGGGGTGCCGCGGCGAACGCTGAGAATAGCACCACAACTCCCCCTCGGCGCCAACAAATGCTGAATTAGCAGCCCTCTTGGGAGTCGGGGTGGTGAAAGATATTCTCTTTGTGCCTTTTTTTTGCCCTCTTCCAGTCTCAATTCTCCTTCCCCCCCCCCCAACCCCAACGTGCCCACCCCCGGGATGGGGTGATGGGGCGGGACGCCCTGTGGGGGGGTGTTTGCCCCCCCCCAGCTGCCTCTGCTCTCCCCGCTTGGGCCAGGACCTGCCTGCTCCTCTTTTTCCAGGGGAAAAGAGCCTCCTCCAGCAGCACAGGGAGGTTGAGGGGGACACGGGGGGTGGGCTCCCTGCCCCCCCATCCCTTCTCCCACTAACCCGTGGCTTTCCCGCCCTCCCCAGCCTCCAGCAAGGGCAGCAGCTCCCTGTCAGGGCTTTCTCCAGGGCTGCGGAGATGGATGAAGGCTCCTGGCAGCCTCCACCACGGCTCGTCCCTCTGTAGGGACCCCCCTCACACACACACCGGTTTATTCCACCCTCACTTGCTTTTATTTTTGGAGAAGGAGGAATGAATGCTCCTGGCCGTGACAGGGACACGTTTGTAAGGGCTTCTCTAGGTGACCGTGTTGGCTTTGGCTCTTCCTGAATGCACCAGCAGGCCCCTCGGGGTCTCACTGACAAACGAGGGCCATGATTCATGCCGGGTTTCTGATCTCTCCTGTCTGTTTTGTTCAGTTTCTTTTTCTCTGGGTTCAGCATCGGACGATGTTATTGTTCCTTTTCTCTGGGGGAGCTGTGGCGGGTGGGCTGAGGGGCAGATGTTCCTCTGAATCATTAAAATCACCGAATAACCAAGGTTGGGAGAGACCTCAGAAGTCTCTTGGTCCAACCCCCTGCTCAAAGCAGGGTCAGCTGTGAGGTGGGACCAGGTTACTCAGCATTCCTGAGCATCGCTCCTGTTGCCCTTCGTCCTTGCCTCCAAAATTGCCCTTAAATTACTGGCTGCTGCTGCTTCTTCCCTCTCTGCTCTCCTCTGCAGTTTCAGAACTTCACTGCTGGTGCTTCTTTGTGATGCTTTTTCTCTCCTGATCCTCTGTGAGTGTGGTTTTGGATGAGAAATGGCTGTTTGGGCAGAGCAGGGGCCTTGGTGAGAGATAGTGGCAGGTCTGGGGTGTGTCTGTGATTCAGAGCTCTCTTGAAGAGGACACAAAGATCTTTGTACTTTAGTGTACTTGGGGAGGGAGGACGATCGTGAAGGCAGTGCCTTCAGAGTCTCCTGGAAAATGGGCTGGTGAGGGTGAGCCAGGGATCCTCTGTGGGATCAATCAGGCTGAGGCAGAGGGAAGCAGCAGAGTCTGGCTTGGAAGACAAATGTGGCTTTTATGTCCCAGGTGGGACTGTGACGCTGTTGGTAGTGGGGCCGCTGACCCTCTGTCTGGCTCCTTATGGTGTCCTTTGTTTGACTCTTGCCTCTAAGTGTAGGGACCTCTGTTTTCTCAATTCTTAATACCTGGCACTTCTGAGAATTTCAGGATTTTGGGAGAGGAATGAAAGGAAGGGTCGGTACTGAGAATTCTTGGATTTTAAGAAGAATTTTGTAGGAAAGAAAGAGAGAGGCTACAGAGTTCACTGAGTCTCATTGTTCAGGTGAAGAAATTTCAGTCAGATTTCTCTGGGCTGTTAATATCCAGCATGTGGTGGCAGAACAGATTCAAACCCTAAAGTGCAAAGCAAGGATTTTGTTTGTGCCTCCACGCTCGGTTGGAATTGTGTCCTGTGGGGGATGCTTTCGTACAGCGTTATTCCGATGATGGGAGAAACTGCAGTGATATGAATTTGGCTTTTTTCCTCTTCCTCCCCAGTTTCCTGTCCTGCCCAGCTCGCTGAATAGTTAATGCAGAAGATAAAGAGGGTTCGTCTGGAAAACGAGACTGCAGGAAGTTGGAGAAGGTATGTGTCCCAGTTACTCCCTGGGCCTTTATTGACCTTTAGGTTGTGTGGGACAGAGCAATAATCACCTCTTGGAGTGAATGAGGTTTCTGAAGAATCCCAAGTATATAATTCTGCCCAGGGAGCTCTGTGTCGGCATCTGTGGGTCAGGAAGTGACTCAGGAAGATAACTTGTTTCACTCACTGCCAATTCCAAGCTTTGCAATGTTTTTCCTGTGCTGATGTCCCACCTGTGCTGTGCTTGTTGTCTTCAGACTGACGCATCCTCCCTGAAGGAGGGCTTGGTGGGTGCCTGACCCATCTAACCTGGCCAGGCAGGGAAGGAAAAGCATGAAAAAGAGCTCCAAGGGACAACTAGATGTTTTGGGGAGTGGGTTTAGTGCTTCTGCACCAACACTGAATCATCTAAATCAGTGCCTCAGTGTGAGGACTGCGAAGGACAGGGTTTTTCCAGGAAGGTGTAGCTCTCAGATGCACTATATTGATGCCCAAGTTTCAAGACTGTCTAAAAATAACATGGCTAAAATTCACGTCTTGATCCAACTCACCTTTGAATAATTTAATCCCAATATTCACTCTGCAGTTTCAGTTGAATTACTCCTCATACTCGTTTACTCACATCTATGGTGTTGCCAGATACTTGCTGTTTTGTCCAAGAGGTGGCTGTAGCAGTTGGATTTTCTTTATACTCTGTATTGTGTCAGGACCTAAGTTTTGTGAGAATCGTGTTCTGGCTGTGATAGTGGTATTTCCCAACGCTTTCACCTACCTTTGTGTGACAATTACTTCACTTATCCCACTACTCTGCTCTGTTCTAGCATCAGAATCACCAGGGTGAGAATCACCATGCTAAGAATTGTGCCTTTCACTAGTGAATCATAAAATCACAGCAATATAGTCTGGAGGGGGCTTTGGGCTCCAGTTTGGTTTGGGACACTTACCAGTATTACATCTGGGGACTGGTTTGAGCCCTGAAAGGTGCAGCTTTCCCTCCTGAGGAGTCAGGAGGCTGAGTTAAGATGGTTTTACCAGCTGGGTGAGAGTAACCCAAGGGTCAGGCGTCCTGAGCCAAAGGCAGGTTATTTTAATTGACTGATTGACCTGCAGTGGGGTTGGGTTGAGAGGATTGTACCCACTTTATGGGGTTTTATGGTCTTCCTGTCATGTGTTTCTGAGGGGTTTTATGGTCTTCCTGTCATGTGTTTCAGCACATGTGGGCAGCACTTTTGCCTTCAGATGGGATTGTAGCTGCTGTAATGGAGACCCTGGATATGGGTGGTAGCAGCCACAGACACACTCACTGTGTTAGAACATCCCGTCACGTTCTCTTTTGTGGTTTCACTTGGGCTTCCTGCCTGGCTTTGATTGGAAAACACTTTCCTTACTCATTTTCAAGCCGTGGATTTACTGCTGGGCAGTAGGTACCAGGAGTACCTACAGATAGATTTATTTCAGGAGCTTGTGCTTGTGTTATTATTCACAAGTTTTTTGTACAATTTAGGGGCTTAGCAGTTTGAAGACATGGTTATATTTACAGCCCTTGCACCATGTGCATCTAGTTTAAGGAAGTCCAGATGTACTTTGCTTTAGGTTTGCTCATCTCTTGCCATAATTGCATAAGATGTCAAACTAGGTGAGAACTTCCTTTTAGAGAGTTTGTTAGAAGGTGCAAGCTGATGGGGGAATCCTCAAGGAACACTCGGGGTTCTCCAGGAAAATACTCATGGTAGAAAACGAGCAGAGGCAAGTGTTTTCTTGTGCTGATATAAATAATCATCCTTCTCTTTTCCCCTGACTCTCTCTGCTGGGAAAGAACTTGTGCATCTTGCTGAGGTTCCGAAATCTTCAAGATTTGGTTTATGTGTAATTCTTGCTTAATCCTTCATCTCTGAAGCTGCTCTCCTGTCAGGATGCAGGTCACCTTCCCAAATGACAGGCAGCATTCAAGAAACATCTCATTTGAAAATTTAAATTTGGGGCTGCTGAGGACAAGGCCTTTTTTGGTATAATCCTTAGTCACTGGTTTGCTCTTGATGCTGTGTCAGAAGTAGCGATTCTGTCTCCACGGAACAAACTTCTCCAGCCAAATTTTTCAGTAAGATGAAGTTCTGCTGCAATTCTTTGTGACGTTTTTCCAGATACCCCCAAAACAACTGAAACGTTCTCGTGGAGGGAAATCCAGCTTCTCGAATGGGGTGACAGAAACTGGTTTCCCTGGTCCAGGGCTCATTCCTGCTTTGCAATAAATGACATCACTGACCTTGGGCGAGTCTGGTAGTCCACCTCTCCTCAAATTAATGTTTGTTGTAGTTGTATGTGGAGGCGGTTTTTGTAGACTCTCATTCAATAACTGCTTGCTTGGAAACACGAGAGGAATGAGTGCCACGTTCTGCAGGACACGACCAGGGTCTGTTCCTGCTGACTTCTTGCTGTTAGCAAAGACCATTGCCCTGTTTTCTTCCTCTTTACCCATCTCTCCTACTTCTCTCCTGGCTGCAGTAGCTCTCCAGGTAAGTGAGGTGCTGTGCTTGGGCTTAAAATCCTCTCTCGAAGTGATGAGCAGGGTTTCCTGTAGGGCAGGAAGGGGACTTTGCTTTTGTGGGCTTCCAGGGCAGAAGTTTGTGTGCCTTTACAAAGTGTGTCATAGCTTTGATGACTTATCCATCCAAATTCCTGGGCTGGTTTTCCTTTGAGTCAAGCTTGATTGTTTTCTGCACCAGGATCTGCTGCTCGGATTTCCTTTAACAGCTTATTTCTAGAGCTGGTCCTGGGAGAGTGAGCGTTCCGAGGTCAATATATTTGTTTACAGGACTCAATATGGGATGGGAGGTGGACTTTTCCTTTCCATACGTCAATGTGTGTTTAAAATGTAATCTTTGAGTGCAGAGAATCCTGGGATCTTTAGTTTAAGGAGGAGTGCCTGTTCTCTTAACCTTGTTGCATGCTTGGAGCTTTCTCTAAGCAACACAATATGCCTGCTTGATTTTTAAGGCTTAATTCTCTCCCTCAACTCCTCCCTCAGTTTTTTGTCCAGTTCTGAAGGGGAAGAGAGGATGACTGCAGTGGACGCGCTCTCGGACAGCTCCGAAGTGGTCGAGATGGAAGATGTGCCTTCCCAATTCCAGGTGCAAAAGCATTCTTGGGATGGGCTGCGTGACATTATTCACAGCAGCAGGAAGTATTCGGGCATGATAGTGAACAAAGCTCCCCATGATTTCCAGTTTGTCCGGAAAACAGAAGAGTCCAGCCCGCACTCTCATCGTCTCTATTACCTGGGTAAGCCAGCGCGCCGGACGCCGGGTGGGAATTGTGATGGGAGAGCTTCCAGTCTAAACAAGGGAGGAAAAGGATCGAGGTGTCTCCATTTAGGAGGGAACTGAGATTAAGTAACGTTGCTCAAGGTTCGGACCTCTCTGGTGTCAGACAAGCGTGTTAACCACAGGCTTCCAACTCTGAGGGAAAGTGCTGGCTGGTCAGACCTGCCTGGTGACAGAGGTGTGAATGCAGTGTCCTTTGGCAACCCAGCTCAGCCCAGGTGATGGGGGAAGAGAAGGTTTGTTCCTCAAACTCAGCACCATCTTGTGCCTCCGTAGCTTCGGAGAAACGGGATTGATTGATTGATCAACCAGCCTGACTTTCCAAGAAATTTGCTGTCAGTAATTATATGTTGCAAGTTCTAGGTATTAATAGTGGGGTGGTAGTGTCTCCCTGTTTTATTAAAGTTCCATGTAGGTAGAATGCTTTCAAGAGTAAGAAAAAAAAAAAAAGATCAGGTGGGAATGAACTATTAATGGGGTTCACAGGGAAATACCCTCTTCCTTACAGCAGGACTGAGAGACAGCAGAGTGCTGTGTTGCACAGGTCCCTCATTATAGGTGGAGCCACAATGTAATTAGTGACAGAGTGGTTGGATTTTAGTAACTGGATAATTTTGTGGTTGTTAACATGGGAAGCTTTATAGACTATAAAGAGTTTGTTACGCTTTGGGGCATGAGCCGATCGTTACGGGGCCAGTAAAGAAATTGCCTGATGTGCAACTCTGTGCAGCGACTGCTTCCCTCAAGTGACCCTGCTTTTTTTATTTATATTTTTTTTTCCTTTTTGGAGCCGTTGAGTGTAGGTCACTGTAGGACGGAGGATGCTGGATTTGAGGGACTGATTTGTTTTGGCATTAAGCAGCTCCTGTGTGCCAACGACTTGATTTGTTATAGTTCCTCCTACACTCCTGTGACACAAGGGCTACTGGAAAGGGCAGTATCCAGAGTGAGCATATTTTTCTTGTTGAGTCTGAGCAGCGAGACCTGATTTAAAGCTGAGTGTGTTTCAAGGCCGAGTTGACTTTGAAGCAGTTTTTTTAATCTAAATGACTAAAGAACTAAAGGTCTAAGTGGCTCATTTAAAAAATTTTTCATGTTCTTCTGCTGTATGAAATGACAACACCCGGCTGGTTGGTGTCCTGCACGGGTGTGTGATGGGAGCCAGAGCCAGGAATGGAGATACACCACTGTTTTCTCAGTGTTTTTTTTTCTGTAAAGTAATATACAGGGCATAGAGTGGATTGATCCATCATGTAAGATCAGTATCCGTCGGGTAATACCAGAAAACCTCTTCTCAGGCATCCCTAATCATCTTTTTTTTTCCATTATGAGCATCTTTTGAGTTGATACCAAGTGCTGTTAAACACTCAGACACTTATGAACTGCTGAAATGGGTTCTAACACCAGCGTTGTATTACTGACCCAACATTAAATAACACTTTCAAGTTTTTATGTGAATACTGGTAGTGACCGTATAGGATAAAGAATTCTGAAGAACTTTGCATAGAAGTTCAATACTTTCCTTCACTTCTGAGGAAAGTATAATGTCTTTTGGGAAGGAAGGCAAGATTTTTCTTGGAAATGCTTGATTGATTGTAGTCAGCCTGAGGTCATTGTAGAAAGTACTAATATAATGAGGAGAAAGGAAGCCCAGGTCACACTTGCATGAGTGTCAAATGTGCATATACATACTAATTTGTTCCTATCTGCATTTTTTTTCTGTTTGGACATCTTAAATCATTCCTGGGCTGTCCCCATAGAATTTTATGTTGTATCATGGCAGATGCTGCTTATATTAAACACCACATGCTCAGCACTTTGGTGTTTCTGTATCTCTGAGAATTATATGCTCACATATTGCTTTGCTTCCTGAGCACTTATTAATATTTCAGTTTTAATTTTAAGTAACTGTACTGCTGGCTTAACTGGCCCAGAAACCTTTTTGTTCTGCCCGGGACGTGGTCGGAGTAGACAACCAGGGCACGTTTCCCTGTGCAAAATTCTCATCTAGGGAGTCTCTACAGCAAATCTAGAGGGCAAGTTCACGGTCTTTGATTTTGTTGAAAGTGCCAAAATCCCATGTCAGGCTATTTTCTTTTTCGTGGTTGTTTTGGAAATTGGATGAAGGCCAGTAGCCGATTTTGATAACCACAGTCAAAGGCTTGTGGATAAAATGGCAAGGTCTTTTTGACTGTGTAATAGACTGTTTCACATCTGAATGGGCTCTCTAGAGCTTCCAGGCTTTTTCTTCCCCTCGTGCAGGCTGGTGCTTTGGCCTCAACGAGGTCCCTGTAGCAAAGTTCTGGCTGGGTGATGTGGGGAGTAACGTTGAGTCACCCAGTCAGGGAGTGGCGTTGTCAGAGTGCATCTAGGGCGTGGGCTGAACAGTCCACGGAGAGGAAAGTTGGATGGAACTAATTCCAAAAAGGTTGGTTAATGTTAAATCTTACACAGGGAAATTTCCAAATAAATGAATAGCTAAATTGAAGTAATTCAGATATTTTTCTGCTGTTGAACTGAGCTGACAGAAGCCTCTGGAAGCCCCAACCCCTCCGTTATCAGACTTATTTTTCAATTTGCTCTTGGTCTTTTTTATCCTGGCTCGCTAATCTTAAGTAGGATGATGCTTTTGTCCTCCTAATAGGAATGCCATATGGTAGCCGAGAGAATTCCCTTCTTTACTCAGAGATTCCCAAAAAGGTACGGAAGGAGGCCTTGCTACTCTTGTCATGGAAACAGATGCTGGATCACTTTCAGGTAAGCCCAAGTGTGAGGAGCCTGGTTTGACAGGGCTTGGGAGAACTGGGTGATGCTGTGGGGCTGGTGCAGTGGGTCCTGTTCCTCTAAACAGCGGAGAGAACAGCGTGGCAGCGTGTAAGACCCTGGATTTAGTATCTTAATGTCCTTTGTCACTGTCAGCACTGAGGAAGAAGGGAGTGGAGGGGGTTTGTCTGTCTTCCCTACTAGGAAGGTTCCCAGTGGAAAAGAATTTAGCTGTCGTGACCCCGTTTGGAATGCAGGTCCCCTTCAGGGTAATTCAAGATCCCCGGAAGAGCTTTTGTTTGCAGTGTCTGACATGGAAACTGTTTGTGAAGGCTGTAGATAACGTCATTAAGCTAATTGGTTACATCTGATTTGCATAAGCAGAGCAAGCGCAGCTGTCCTCAGTTCATGCTGAAGCACCAACTGCAGAAATGACAGATTCACAGTTTTTCCCTTTTATGTAGAGGGGACTTTGGGGCCTGAAGTTGGTTTAGTCCCCCTGGGCCACCCTTGTGGCCTAAAGTACAGCCGTTATGGACCTCTATGGTCATACCAGTGATAGTTTTGGGCTGGTATATTGTGTTTTGGACATTCACAGACTAACTGGTGCCAGTCTTGGAGCATTCCTGTTCTGTGAACGTTTCTTTCCTTGCAGATTCTTTCAGATTTTCCTTTCCTTCAATCCTAGGCAACCCCTCACCACGGGATGTATTCTAGAGAAGAGGAGCTCTTGAGGGAACGCAAGCGACTTGGTGTCTTCGGTATAACGTCGTACGATTTCCACAGCGAGAGCGGCCTCTTCCTCTTCCAGGCCAGCAACAGCCTCTTCCACTGTCGAGATGGGGGCAAGAATGGTTTCATGGTAAGTCTGATTTTCTGAAGATCACCTGAAACAGTCTGAATGGTTTTGGTTGGAGGTGGCTGCGCATCTGCATCTGTTTGCTTATGGCTATTTTTTTTTTCTGCCAGGGCTATGTTTGCCATCATTTCGTAGGCTGCACTGTATCTGTGGCTTAGACCTTTAAGTGTGAAGCTGGAGCTGATCTATCTGTGTCTGTTGCTGTAGGTGTCTCCAATGAAGCCTCTGGAGATCAAGACTCAGTGCACAGGGCCACGAATGGACCCCAAGATCTGCCCTGCTGACCCTGCCTTCTTTTCATTCATTAATAACAACGATCTGTGGGTAGCAAATATAGAGACAGGAGAGGAGAAGCGGATGACGTACTGCCATAAAGGTAACTGCTGCTTCTTGCCACATTTCAAACGAAATTCTTTCTGACAATTTCGGGCTGGAAGGGCTTGTGTCTTCATGGCTTATTTCTTACAAGCACGTTCTTCTTTTGGATCACCTTTTTCCAAGGAGATCTTAACGCAGTCTCTTCTTTGTTCCTTTCCAGGCTTATCCAATGTTCTTGATGACCCCAAGTCTGCTGGTGTGGCCACTTTTGTCATTCAGGAGGAGTTTGACCGGTTCACAGGCTATTGGTGGTGTCCCACAGCTTCCACAGAAGGTCAGTGTCCTGCTTAGAAGGTTCTGATGCTGTAACTGCTGCCGGTCCCCGCTGTGACTGGGATTTTGAGCAGGGTTTTCCTTTGGTCTGTGTCTGGGGAGGCCACCTGAAGGAACAAAACACGGAGGGGTTGGAATTGTGCTGCAAGGAGTGTTTGCAGGTGGTGTCTGTGAGATGTGGCTGCGCAGGAGGTGTACACCCTGCACCAGAGTGCTGCTGCTGCTGCTGCTGCGCTCCAGGCGAGTCAGAAACAGCTGGAAAACACCACAGCAAACCCCCTTCCTCTCTCTTCCCAGGTTCGGAGGATTTAAAAACACTGTGGATCTTGTATGAGGAAGTGGATGAGTCAGAGGTGGAGATAATTCATGTTCCTTCACCTGCCTTGGAGGAGAGAAAAACAGACTCCTATCGGTACCCCAGGACAGGTAAGGGAAATACCGAGGGGCTGCTGATGCAACTCTTGACTCTTGCTGGTGGCAGCAGTGGAATTTGGGCTCTAAACTTGGCGTGATTAATCTGGGTACTTACTGCCATGTAGAAGCTGGTTGTAAATGTTGAGGCCTAATTGAGTCTCAGAGCCCAAAATCTACTGCAAGAAAGGAATGGGATTTAAAGTTCAGCTTAAAGGAAAGGATTGCCGAGAAAATGGAATATATCTGGTGGCGTATCGTGGAATACATTTTAAATACCATCTTTCTTCTCCCTCCTGAGAACATGCACAGCCAACTAAGCAAGGAGAAAACAAACTTTTTCCATACCCCTAATTACTCTTGCAATTATGGTGATGTCTGCCTGAATACACAACTTGATATTTGTACATTCACGCAGCACCCTTTTAGCAGGACCAGAGTCAGTTCTAATCTAGAAGTTGTGTTGTGGGGTGTTTCAGATGGGTCATCTTGATATTCTCTCACTCCTCTGCAGGCAGCAAAAACCCCAAGATTACGTTAAAACTGGCAGAATTTAAAACAGACAGCAAGGGTAAGGTAAGTGATAACAACCCAGAATGGGATATTGCACAGGAGGGTTGGCGGCTTCTGAAGCTCCCTAGAATTAAGAGAAGGTCACTAAGACATCGTAGATAGTGTAAGCCTGTGTTATCATCCTCTGATAACACCCAGTTCTATAACATGCTTATCCAAGAAGCAGAAAAATCTTTAAAATGCTGAAGAGTATCGTTCTGGTGGAGAGGCAGCTGGGAGAGGGGAGGGGAGCGAGGAGCAGGGGTAGCCTGATGTATCACGTTGTCGATAGCGGAGCAGGAGAGTTGAAGCCCCATCTAATCCTGGGCTCCAGTCCCTGGCTCTGTCCTTCTCTGTGGCCCAATGCCAAAATCGTTTTGCTTTGAAGCTTGTTTTTCCCTTCTCTTCCTGCCATTTGTAGCAGGGCTTGCTTCTCCTGGCCCGACCCTTGCTGATGCCCATAGTTAAACTTCTATATTCTCCTATTCCACCGAGCTCCCCTGGGAGGAGGTTCTGGGAGCAGTCTGATCTGATATTGGACCTTCTTTTGCTGCAGATCGTGTGTGCTCAGGACAAGGAGCTGGTGCAACCATTTGCTGCCTTGTTTCCGACGGTGGAGTACATTGCCCGCGCTGGATGGACCCGAGATGGCAAATAGTACATAAGTTTTTCTTCCAAACTAATGCCCTGAGGGCTTCCCCGGCTGAAGTGTTGCAAGCCCTTCATGTGCCTTGTGGTGCTGTTATTACCTGAGTGTTAAAGTCATGAGTGCCAGAAATGGCATGTTAATATTTGGCCTCTTCAGTGTTATAACATCCTAAATATAGGAATTAATGGCATGTAGGCCAGAGTGACAAGCTGTGGGGTTTAAGTCACAACCACAAAGTTAAATGACGTTGATATATTGAGCGGGCAGACCTAGGGAATTCTTTGGAGTTGAAGATGTTTAACACAAGTACAATACGCTTCCTGCTGGAAAGGAGAGTGCAGTATAAGCAGGTTTATCATTGTCCATTGATCCAGTTTGATCAGTGCTAAATTATCCTGGGAACGTGGGTGGTTTGTGTGGTGCTCAGCCCTTTGTGGGTACAAGGGCAAGATTGCCCTGGGGCTGGTGTGCTCCCAGAGCTCACTATCATTCCAAACACGATCCACAGCCTTGCCTGAAGAGTTACAGAATTCCCACCAACCTGATTGGTTTGAAATTGTAAAGCTTTTAATTTTTTCCCCCTCAAATCTTGCTTGACTGTTAACTGGTTTCTCTCCAGATCAAGTTAAGGTGACTTAGCTGTCGTTGAAGATCTCACTCTGTAACTCATGGCCTCAATTTGTGCCAGGGGAGGTTCAGATTGGGTATTAGGAAAAAATTTTGACACTGAAAGGGTTATTAAGAATTGGAAAGGGCTGCCCAGGGTTGTGGCAGATTGACATAGTGCTTAGTGACATGGGTTAGTGATGGTTTTCGTCAGAGTTAGCTTGATGGTTGGACTAGATGGTCTTAAAGGTCCCTTCCACCTTCCAACGTAGACAATTTTATGATTCTATGTTCATAAATTTTCTGCTCTGGAAAGTAAACTCATACAGCTTTACAGAAGGTAATCCCAGAGGGGATTCTTACATTCTGCACTAGAGCTTATCTAAATGTGCTGAACGCGTCAGTTCAGGAAATCCACAGTCACTGGCATCCTGGGGACAACCGGATCTTCTGAAAATCTGTTTCATGATGAAACTTCCCTTGATGAGCTTCCAGGCCTTGGGTTGGCCACACTGTGCAGTGGTGGCTGGTCATGTGTGCTTGGCAGTGTGCACTGGCAGCCCGGAAAGGCAGCAGCATCGTGGGCTGCATCAAAAGAAGTGTGGCCACCAGGGCAAGGGAGGTGATTCTGCCCCTCTGCTCCGCTCTGGGGAGACCCCACCTGGAGAACTGTGTCCAGCTTTGGAGTCCTCAGCACAGGAAGGACATGGAGGTGTTGGAGTGGGACCAGATGAGGCCATGGAGATGCTGGGAGGGCTGGAGCCCCTCTGCTGGGAGGGGGGGCTGAGAGAGTTGGGGAGTTCAGCCTGGAGAAGAGAAGGCTCCGGGGAGACCTTAGAGTCCCTTCCAGTCTCTCAGGGGGCTCCAGGAAAGCTGGGGAGGGACTTTTGATCAGGGAGGGGAGCCCTAGGACAAGGGGGAAGGGTTTGACACTGAAAGGGGGGAGGCTGAAATGAGATATTAGTAAGGAAATTTTCACTTGAGAGCCTGGCCCAGGTTGCCCAGAGAAGCTGTGGCTGCCCCATCCCTGGAGGGGTTCAAGGCCAGGTTGGAGGGGGCTTAGAGCAACGTGGTCTGGCGGGAGGTGTCCCTGCCCAGGGCAGGGGATGGCACTGGGTGGGCTTTAAGGTCCCTTCCAACTCGAATCACTCTATGATTCTACGATGTGTTACGGTGTGAGGCCAGCAGTGCAGCACCACTTCAAGTGGCCCTCCTTGGAGAGGGACAAGGCTGAAAGAGCAGCGACTCCTTCTCTTGGCAGTTGTGTTAGCTCTGGGCCTTCCTCTGCAGCGTGCAGTGAGGAAGCTACAAGTGGATTGCTTTAAGAGTGATCGTTTTAGCTGATTAGGAGCCTGCTAGAAAATGAACAGTGGTTCCTGATGGAGGGGCTGCCCAGGGAAGAGCTGTGCTCTCTTAGGGACAGGGTTCTGTTCATGGTGCTCCCTTGGAACAGACACTGGTGAACCCCTCAGACGTCTTGCCTGAGCCATACCCCTGTGAAATACCAGAGATGTTCTGGCAGTAACGGGTCTGTTGGCAAAGCTTCCAGGAGATTAGAAAGCAGCAATGATGAGAAAAGCTTTGCATTCAGATGCCCAAATCCTTTCTGCCAGCCGGGAGGGGGCAGGGGAAGGCTCGAGTGTTCGAAAGGGACATCTATTTTGTGGTACTGACATTCACCTCCAACTTCTTTCCCCAGTGCCTGGGCTATGTTCCTAGACAGACCTCAGCAGCGGCTGCAGCTAATCCTTCTGCCTCCAGCACTCTTCATTCCAGTCCCAGAAAATGAGGAGCAGCGTGCTGAATTTGCCAAAACTGTGCCAGAAAATGTCCAGCCATTTGTGATCTATGAAGAAACCACTGATGTGTGGATAAATGTAAGAGGCTCGGGGCTGGGAGGAGAACACAGGCTGCCCCTTCCTCCCCCACAGTTAACCAGTTTTGTGTTGGCTGTGTGTCCAGTTCAGTCCGTGTTCCAGCAGACTGCTTTGCTATTCAGCAGTGCCAGATTTGGGGTTAATTCAGGGGGTTTGATGAAGTCATGAGAAGGGTTTTCATGCAATCAGCACTGGAGGAGATGAGGATCCTGCCATCTCCTTGCAGTTGGAGCTGTTCATTTAATTCTTGCTAACACTTAACATTTTTGGTGAACACAGGCCCTTCAGATACTGACACTTTCAGATGTAACACTGTCATTCTTTTGGGGGTATTTTATTACAAGAATAAATGGCTTTTTGAGGCGTAACCACCCTAATCCCTGGAATTTGTTGTACCTCTTTAGGTAGGGAATGGACATAGGGGACAGGGAATAAACTTCAGCCTCTGAGATGAAGCGTCTTGGTACTGAAGTGACAAAGGGGCCTGGAGTCACACTGTGGCATTCCTGAGGTGTTGGAACAGTAACCACCTTGTGGCACTCCCAGAGCTGAAATGTCAAGCTCGGAGGCAAACTGGTGCTGGTTTTGGTGGTAGCCATGGAAAGCCCAGAGCACGTGGTCTCCTACGTGGCCCCAGAGTTTCTCTGTGGTGATAGGAAAGCATGAAATGGCTTTTTTAGCTGCTCATCTGAGATATTTCTCCCCTCTGCCCTCCTTTGAAAGCCCAGTGATTTAGCACTGACTCCCTTGGCTGTGTCTCTGCTGTCTCCCAGAAATCACGTGTGGGTCTTTTGCCTCATGTGACAGGTTCACGATATCTTCTATCCTTTCATCCAACCGGAGGGAGAGGAGGAAGAACTCTGCTTTATCCGAGCCAACGAATGCAAAACAGGTTTCTGTCACCTGTACAGAGTCACAGCAGTCCTAAAGCAGGGCAGCTACAACTGGTCACAGCCATTTGTCCACAGCGAGGGTAAGAGCTGCATTTTATCAGCGTTCCAGCTCTGGGAGCTCCCTCTCCTATTTGCTTCTCCTGTCTTTTGGGGAAGACGGTGACTTACTCTTATTTTCTTTCTTCTAGATGATTTCAAATGTCCCATCAAAGAGGAGATTGCCCTGACTGGTGGGGAATGGGAGGTGTTGGCGAGGCACGGATCGAAGGTAGTGGTTATTTTTATTTTCTTTTGCAGTGGTAGAGCTCTGCATTGTCTGCCCACAGGCCTGGCCTACGCCCTCCGTTACGCCTGGGACCAGCTAGAACTACTTAAGCTTCATTTTGTTTCTCTTTTTATTGCTGCCTCGGCTTTCCCCAGAAGTGCTGTACTCCAGTGCACATTGAACTGATTGCCTTTTTAATCAGCCCTCAGATCGCTCCTTAGGTAAACCCCCTGAGTGAGTCAGGCCATAAAAAAGGACACGAGTCTGAGGTTCAAGAGCAACAAAGAACTATTTTGTGGAGAAGCTTGGGATTGCTGCCTTTTGCCGAAGCATTTTAACCCCAATGAGTACTGGTGAACTGGAATTATGTCCAGTGCTTAGAGCGAACTCTTGGTCTCCAGCTGATTCCTCAGCAGAGCCTTTAGGAAGAAGGCAGCTAGGGAGCCTAAAGCAATTTTAGAATATGGAGAAACTGTATCTGTTATTGGTTGTGGAATAGCCAGAAATGAATTTTTATTAATCTTGTAGAAACCTAGTTCCATTTTTGCTTCAGGAATTAACTCGGAGTCTGATCTTTAATGCTCCCAGGTGATTTCTGTCAAAATAAAGACCTCGTCTGTTCATTTCCAATTAATCTGGATTTTCACTTCTCGCTTTTAAAAAGGCCTGCAGCTCCATGTGTTTGGTTTCTGCTGCTTTTCCTCAATCTGCAATTAACCTGCTGGCCCTCCCCATGTGGATTCTCACTGTACATGCTGTTGATTTTGGCCACAGCTCTTCCCTGCATGTGTTATGGCTAAAATTGTGTTAGCGGCAATTATTTTGATGCATTTGTTGCTCCACAGGGCTCTGCCCGGTTTTTCCTGGCCAATTGAGTTGGATATTTTGTTCCCTTTGCTGTCCACCGTGGTCTTCAAACTGTGGGTTAGCCAGAAATAGCATTTGGGCTTCAGCATTTGGAAAGTGTAAGGTGGAAAACAGTTCGGTTACTGTTGCTGGATCAATGTGGCATTTAAAAGCTGTAGTCTCTATTCCTGGCTGGCTGAGGAGGTTTTTAGAGATGGCTTTATCTGGACATTAAAAATGTATTTTAATGTGGCTTGAAGTTTGGTGCTGTTAGAGCTATTAGAAGGATCTTTCCACAGATGGGAATTCATTATCAGGATTGCTGGAAAAAATACATATTTACCCTTATAATCCAGACATTCTACGGGAAGACGCTATATTTAAGCGCAGAATCTTCACCTCTGGGGAACAGAGCCCAACTTTTTGTTCTCCATTTGTACACAAATGCTTTGGGTCTCTTGAAAAAAAAAAAAAAAAAAGAGGCTGAGTGACTGCTTTTTGTTACTTCACTGGACTGTGTGGGGTTTTCCATACGTGCTGTGTGTGTTCTCCAGCCTGTGGTATCAGCAGGTGGTGTGTGGGGTCCCTGATGCTGGGAGCAGCCCCTCATGGTCTGTTTGTGTTTTCAACTCGCTCTGCTTGGGGCCAGGCTGTTGGAACCAGCAAAGGAGCAGTAGTTGTTGTCCTCCTGTCTCTGAGCCCTCTCTTCTCCACATAGATCTGGGTCAACGAGGCTACGAAACTGGTGTATTTCCAAGGCACGAAGGACACCCCCTTGGAGCACCACCTCTACGTAGTCAGCTATGAGTCTCCTGGAGAAATCGTGCGCCTCACCACACCGGGCTTCTCCCACAGCTGTTCCATGAGCCAGGTTGGTTGTTTCCTGGATACAAGACTCATCTCCTGACTGACAGGGATCCTAACTGGGAATGGTAATGAATCATTACCAGTAACGAGTCCTGAGGGCTTCTTCTTTGTCTTGGTTGCTTGAGATGTGGGAACTTTTATCTGAGAACTGTGTGGAGGAGATTAGATGTGGGAAATGAAAGCCCTTGCTCCACTAACTCTTCTCTCTCTCTCTCCCCTCTGTAGAACTTTGACATGTTCATCAGCCACTACAGCAGCGTGAGCACTCCGCCCTGCGTCCACGTCTACAAGCTCAGTGGCTCTGATGATGACCCGCTCCACAAGCAGCCCAAGTTTTGGGCCAGCATGATGGAGGCAGCCAGTAAGTGCCGTGGCACGTGCCAGGGCTAGATTTTGTCTGTGATGCTCTTCCCACTAACGGGAACCAAAGGTGATGCAGAGGGAAGTGGCCCAAGTAACTTCCCTCTGAGGGGAAAATCATAGAATAGAATCATAGAATGGTTTGGGTTGGAAGGGACCTCAAAGATCATCGAGTTCCAACCCCCCTGCCCTGGGCAGGGACACCTCCCACTAGAGCAGGTTGCTCAAGGCCCCATCCAGCCTGGCCTTGAACCCCTCCAGGGATGGGGCAGCCACAGCTTCTCTGGGCAACCTGTTCCAGTGTCTCACCACCCTCATAGTAAAAAATTTCTTCCTGAGATCTAATCTGAATCTTTTCTCTTCCAATTTAAAACCGTTTCCCCTTGTCCTATCATTACCCTTCCTGGCAAAGGGTAAAAGGGAAAGTGACCTGTGTTATCTTAGCGGGCAGCTCATCCAGGAAATGGTATATGGGTTTTTAAGATGATCTTACCCTTCCTGGCAAAGGGTAAAAGGGAAAATGACCTGTGTTATCTTAGGGGGCAGATCTCGTTAGCAGGTAGCTCATCCAGGAAATGGTATATATGGGCTTTTAAGATTATACTGTTTCATGCTTTGAGCGAAAGCGGCGCTCCAGGGTGCAGGGCTTGGATGGCTGTGGCTTTAGGTGTTTCTTTATTCATGATTTGTCTGAAGAGGGAAGGGGCAAGTATCTGGGATGCAGTGGCTGCTTCGTTCTAAGGCTGTAGGCTATAAAGAGTTAGATGGAGCTCATAGCAGCGCCTGAACCCCTCCTACAAATGCTTTTTCCATTTCACCCCTCCCTGTTCTTTCCCTTCCACGTCTGGCTGGTGTGGCACAGCCTGCCTCGTGTGAGGGTACCCAGCAGGTGACATGTTCTTGTGTGATCCCTTCAGCCTTTGTGTGGCCTGTTGCCCTGGGTGGGCAGATAGAGGCCATCATTTCCCAGCAAGAGCCTTCTCTGAGAGGCGTTGCTGAGGCTTGGAATAGTTTGATGTTGAAGGAGACCTGACTGGGGCCAATTTTGAACGGAATGAGGTTGTTCAGGTGGGGCAGGAGGCAGAGGCTGCTGGCAGTTCATAGAATCATAGAATTGCCCAGGCCAGAAGGGACCTCCAAAGGTCATCTAGTCCGACCCCCCCACAGTCAGCAGGGACACCCCCAACTAGACCAGGTTGCCCAGGGCCTCATCGAGCCTCACCTTGAATATCTCCAGGGAAGGGGCCTCAACCACCTCCCTGGGCAACCTGTTCCAGTGCTCCACCACCCTCACAGTGAAGAACCCTCTCCTCATCTCCAGTCTAAATCTCCATCAGGTCCATGTCCTTCTTACATTGAGGGCTCCAGACCTGCACACAATACTCCAGGTGAGGTCTCACCAGAGCAGAGTAAAGTGGCAGAATCACCTCCCTGGACCTGCTGGCAACGCAGCTTTTGATGCAGCCCAGGATGGGATTGGCCTTCTGGGCTGCAGCTGCCCACTGCCTGCTCATGTCCAGCTTCTCATCCACCAGAACCCCCAAGTCCCTTTCCTCAGGGCTGCTTTCCAATCCCTCACCCCCCAGTTTGTATTGGTGGCGAGGATTGTTCCGGCCCAGGTGCAGAACCCTGCATTTGCTCTTGTTGCTGCATCACTGGTGTCTGACCTTCCTTCTGCAGGTTGTCCCCCAGATTACATCCCACCTGAGATCTTCCACTTCCGCACCCAGTCGGATGTTGAGCTCTACGGGATGGTCTACAAACCTCACGATGTCCAGCCTGGGAAGAAGCATCCCACGGTGCTCTTTGTGTACGGAGGCCCTCAGGTAATAATCCAGATTTAATTTCTTGTGTCAGGCAGGCGTGGGATTGCTGCCCAGGGCAGAGCTCTGTGTAGCTTGCTCATCATCAGGACTTTCACTTTGGTTAGCAACGAGCACTGGACCTCTGTTCTGACCTCTGCTTCAAACCTCAGATGATTTTTTTTTTTCCAGCATTTAGTCTGATTTGCATGGCTCTGCTGGCACAGTTAGTGGCTGTGGTCCAGCTCAGGGCCCTACACAGTGGGACAGACAGAGGAAGGTACTGGAAGGCAGCTGCTTGGCTCTGAACCTCTTCTTCCCTCCTCCTGCAGGTGCAGCTAGTGAATAACTCCTTCAAAGGAATCAAGTACTTACGGCTCAACACGCTGGCGTCCCTAGGCTACGCTGTGGTGGTGATCGATGGACGGGGCTCCTGCCAGCGAGGACTCAAATTTGAAGGGGCCCTGAAAAACCAAATGGTAATGTTCTGCTTTTATTGATGAATCTCTGCTCGTTTGTCTTTCGAAGGCTGCCTGGCTGCGTGTTTCCTGTAGGAGTTGCTCCGGTCTTTTCTATCTCAATTTTCTAGATTTTTTTAGAAAGCTGCTAATTTGAGCTTCCGTGTTGCCTTTTAGGGTCAGGTGGAGATAGAGGACCAGGTGGAAGGTTTACATTATGTAGCAGAAAAATACGGGTTCATCGACTTGAGTCGGGTGGCCATCCACGGCTGGTCCTACGGGGGGTTCCTCTCCCTCATGGGTCTCATCTGTAAACCCAACGTCTTCAAGGTGAGTCTGGACGTGGGGCTGTCCTTTTGGGACACGTAACTCTCAGCTTCTGTAACTCTGGGTGTCTGGAGTTGGCTTTTTTTTGCTCAATGTTTCTGATGGCCGGGTGGAAGTGTCCCTTGGTCCTGCTGGTAGCTCCTGCGTTCTGTCAGATCTTCCCTGTCTGAGGCTTGGTGGGGATGGGGTCGTTCCCCAGTGGCTGCCAGTGAAGGACTTAGCCAAGCATCCAGTGAGCTAATCCCCTTCCCAAGTCCCCAGTGCAGCAGCTTCTGGATCATTCCACAAATCCTCCTCCAAAGGATTCTGGAGAAGAGAAGGCTGAGGGGAGACCTTATCAATGCTGACAAGTGAAATTCAGTGAAATTCAGTGAAATTCAGTGAAATTCAGTGAAATTCAGTGAAATTCAGTGAAATTCAGTGAAATTCAGTGAAATTCAGTGAAATTCAGTGAAATTCAGTGAAATTCAGTGAAATTCAGTGAAATTCAGTGAAATTCAGTGAAATTCAGTGAAATTCAGTGAAATTCAGTGAAATTCAGTGAAATTCAGTGAAATTCAGTGAAATTCAGTGAAATTCAGTGAAATTCAGTGAAAAGGGGAAGCTTTTGGTGCTGTTATGCAGGAATTTGCCCCATTGTGACTATAATGGGAACAGCAGGAGGAGGAACCTGGGGTTTATGTGGGTTTGCTGTGGAAGAATCCTGATCTGAGTGACAGAGCAGTCCAGAGCCTGTTTTTTCCTTCCTCTTCAGGAAGACTTGAACTCTTTAGCATGTGCTAATTGAGGCTGTCTCCTGCCACCTATCTGTTTGACAGATTGCTATAGCAGGTGCTCCGGTGACGGTCTGGATGGCGTATGACACCGGGTACACCGAGCGGTACATGGACATCCCCGAGAACAACCAGCAGGGCTACGAGGCCGGCTCCGTGGCGTTACACGTAGAAAAGCTTCCCAATGAGTGAGTACTGAGGGCTTGAGGGATCCCCTAAAAAACCCTCTCCTGGGTCCTCCTCAGTGCCACCAGTTGTGGCTCTACTGAATGAATCCCAGCAGAATGGATGGATTCTGATCCTGTTTAACTTAGAGGGGCTGGTTGTTGCCTTCTGCAGCAAACTGGGGGACTCTGCCCCCAGTCCCCTTTGCCAGGGAGGGGTTGAGGACCGCATCTGTGACCTTATGCTGTTCTAACAGCTCCTCCCTTGCTCAGTTTTGCCTTGCTGACCAGCAGCTTGGACCCACTGCAGAGCTTTTTCTGTGCTTCCTCATCCTGTCTCTCATCTCACCTCCAGGCCAAATCGTTTGCTGATCCTCCATGGCTTTTTGGATGAAAACGTGCACTTTTTTCACACCAACTTCCTGGTATCGCAGCTAATCCGGGCTGGAAAACCTTACCAGCTGCAGGTAGGAGGAACAGAGAAGTGGGAAGGTCCTTTAAATCTGGAAAAAAAAGTGATCTGCTGTGTGTTGCGGGGGCGGGAGAAGGTGGAGGCAGATGCTCCCGCATCTTGCTGCAATGTAGATGGCAGTAGATGCCTGGTTTGACTCGGGGAGGTGGCCGGGAGGTGGCGCTGTGGCCGTTCCATTGCTGGCAGATGGTATCTAAAAGCATTTGAGAACAGGGCTCCTGCCCTCAGGCCTGGAACTTTCCTTCTCTGCTCAACTGTCACTGTCTCCCTTGGCTGGTGGCAGCGGAGGTGGCCGAGGGGACTGGCAGCACCCGCCAGCACCTGCCATCCCCCTGCTGAGGGGAGACCTCCTTGCTCTCTCCAACTCCCTGAAAGGAGGGTGTAGAGAGATGGGGGTCGGTCTCTTTTCTCAAGTCACAGGTGACAGGACGAGAGGAAATGGCCTCAAGTTGTGCCAGGGGAGGTTCAGGCTGGATATTAGGAAAAATTTTTTCACTGAAAAGGTTCTCAGCCCTTGGAATGGGCTGCCCAGGGAGGGGGTTGAGGCCCCATCCCTGGAGGTGTTCAAAAGATGGGTTGATGTAGTGCTGGGAGGTCTGGTTTAGTGATGATGCTCCTTGTTTGTTGTGTGGGGGTCTATTTTTGTCAGTGAGGTTGACGGTTGGACAAGATGATCTTTAAGGTCCCTTCCAACCTAGAAGATTCTGGGATTCTGGGATGCTCTCGACATTCCCTGGCATCTCTTTGTCCCGATGGAGCCTGGGTTGAGGGAAAAGGGCTGATGTGAGGGAGGGTTGTGGATGTTGGGGGAGCTGCTCCAGACTAACCACCCTCTTTCTCCGCTTCTGCACAGATCTACCCCAACGAGAGACACAGTATTCGGTGCCCCGAGTCAGGAGAGCACTATGAAATCACGCTGCTGCACTTTCTACAAGAATACCTCTGAGAGCACAAGCCTCTGCAAACCGGACACTGACAGCTCTACCTTTCCCCCTCCCGTGCCCTGCCAACCCCCGTGTGTGTCCCCCCCCAGCCATTGCACCCACGGCCGAGTGCCCCCCTGGGTGTCCCCCCTCCTCAAGCCAGGGGGAAGGCGGAGGGCACCTTCCCTTTGGACAGTGCCACCTTCTTTCACTTTTCCAAGCTGCTCCTCCTCTTCCTCTCCTCCGGCCTGGCTGTTAATGCTTTTTTTTTTTATTCTTTTTTTTTTTTTTTTTTTTTTTTTTTTTTTCTTTTTTTTTTTTTTTTTTTTTTTTTTTTTTTTTTTTTTTTTTGCTGCTACTCCCTCTCTCCTGGGAATCAAAGGACAGTGGTGTCTCCCGAGGCTGGGGTTTGTGTCCATCTCTCTCTCTCTCCCTCATCCTTTTTCCCTTCCTCTGCGCCTCCGCAGTCCCCCTACTCTCACCTGCAAGAACTCAGTGCCTGTGTTGGAAGCGGAAGAGCCGAATCAGCGCTGCCTTAAGCCAGGAGCAGGAGGGAAGAGAGAAATTAACAGAGAAATTAACCCATCGTTAAGCCCCTGGGGGGGAGCTGATCCACCGCCGCTGCTGCTGCTGCCGCCGCCACGTCCTGGCCCTGCTGCGACAAACGTGGAGCCCCCAGGATGTGAAAATTGCTCTACGAGAAGCATGCAACACTAGGTTTTTTTT